TTAAAAACTACTAAATTAAAAAGAAAAAGAACTTAATAGTCTTAAGATTAGAACTATACAATTTTACTATTATTTACAGACTAGAAAAAATGTATTAAATACTAATATCTTGTCTTATATGTATAAGAATGACTTATTAACAAAAAAGAAAATATTTCTAAATACAATATAAGAACAACTAATATACTTTACTAATGATGAAAACTTTATAGAAATATATTACTTAGGATTAGATAAACAATTAATAATCATTAATACTGATCATAGAACAATAGATATCATTAAGAATACCTTAAAATATAATCTACTTCTCAAATTACAGAAAGGAATAAAGTTTGATAAAAATATTAAATTTACTTTAGATAGTATTAGATATAATAAAATATTAAGTATCTAGTACTATATTAAATATATTACTAATAGATTAAATAGAAAGTATAAATAAAAAAGTTACTTCTGAGACTATAAGGGACATGGAGCTTAATATTAGTATAACTATAAATTATACTCACCTATCAATGAATATTAGAAGTATCACTTAGATTTAAAATTATAGATAACAATAAAAACTTATTCAATAGAAAAAGTTACAAGAAGTTATTGGCCTATATCTGATAGTGAAAATAAAACTGAGATATATGACTTTAAAATGATAATTATAGTCTTATTGATAGCTTCTATTGAGATAATCAAGATATTTGTATATCTACTAGAACTTATTTACTTAGTAATTATAACTTAGATAAAAATATAGATACATTTAGATCAGATACTAATAGTGATTAGAATAATAAAAATCTGATTAAAAACTATTAATTTATACTAGTAAATATACTATAGTAGTTGCTACTACTTGAAACCTATTACAGACCTATTACTAAGAATTTAATAATCTTACTAATAGTTATCTTTGTAATTCTATATAGTAGAAAATTGTAAATCCTACTGTATATAACAACTAATTAATTAAATAACATAAAGATAATTTACAAAGGACTGAAAAATTTGCAATTTAATTATTACTACTATATAACTATTAATAATTAACTCTATATTAATAAAATATAGAAACAATAGAATATAATTAATTAAAACTTTACTTAAAGACTACTTAATATCTACTTAATATTACTTCTCATACATAAAGGAGAATAATATCTCAAAATAAAAACTTTATTATAAATAATAGACAACTATATTAAAAAAAAACAAAGAATAATTAGCTATTAAGAGTTATACAAACATACAAAATAGAAGCAATATTATATCTATTCTATAATTATCTGACTGGAATATATCAAAGAATTAATAAAGTAAAAGTCTAGTAATCTAGTATAGTGAATAGATTATTAGACTATTATGCAATAGGTTTGGAGTTCAAATCCTACTATCAATAATTTGAATAATTTCTCAAATCTTGTATTTAACTTACAGTAAACTCTACTTATTTCTGAGTATTACAACTCTGTAAATTATATTATACTAATATTAATTAGATATTAGAAGTTTGATAAAATATTTAAATTGTATTATACAAATAAATCAAGATAGGATTTACAGGTAAAGGATCTGCATAGTAAAAATCCTGAATTAGATAAAGTAGTATAGATTTTAATAGTTATACTAATTAATACTTGATTTAGCAAAGAAGTCTAGATACAAAGAATATATATTAAGTAGATATGAGTAAATCTATTACATGAAATTATATAGCAATACCAACTTGGCTTAGTAGTTAACTAAATTAGAAAGATCTGTCTTATAAAATATCTAAAAAAACTAGAGGACTAATCTGGTGAAGAGCTATAGCAGGAACTGAGTTTATATAAATATTGAATAAAGATATATATAAGGTTTGGCAATCTTAGTATAGTCAGACTACTATGTAAGAGATCTGGAGTTTAAATCTTACTATCGACAAATTTGAATAATTACTTAGATTTTTATATCTAACTTATAGTAAACCCTGTTTATTTCTAAGAGTTATAATTCTGTAAATTACATTGCACTAATATTAATTAGATATTAAAAGTTTGATATAATATTCGAGTTATATTGTATGAATAAATCTTAATAGGATCTATAATAGAGGAGCTGCATAGTAGAAATTACAAATTAAGTGAAATAGTATAGATTTCAATAGTTATACTAGTTAATACTTGATTTAGAAAAGAAGTTTAAATATAAAAGTTGTAGATTGAGCAGATGCAAATAAGTTTACTATATGAATTAGCCTAGTGCTTTGCATTAGTAGCAATACTAACTTGGCTTAGCAGCTAATTGAATTTAAGAGAATTTGACTTGTAAAACTTTTGAATATATAAAGGACTAATCTAGTAGAGAACTACAATAGGAACTGAGTTTATATAAATATCTATAAGAGTATATGCTAGCTTAATTAGAATAAAGTATAGTATAGTTAGAGTATTCTACAAGCCTCTTCTGATGAGAACAAAAAGTTACCTTAAGATAGACATTTCTAATAAGAAAAACTAAAATACAAGCTAGCCTGAATAGTCCTCAATGAGGTAGTATAAGTTTGTATAGGTTTAAGAATAAAATTAAATTAATATTAGGGATAACAAGAATAATAGAGAGTTTAAAATAGAGTATTCACAAATAAATACTAGATATAGAAATTAGTAAGTAATCTTTAAGCAGAACCTTTAAATAGACAATAATTAAAATTGTATATATAACTAATTATACTCTTACTAACTACTGTATAGTGCAAACTATGGTACCCTAGGTATAATATATTCTACAGCCAAATTTTAACTAGTATCTATAGTATTATATACAGAGAAGTATTTTGTACAAAAGAGGATATAATTCTATATATAGTACCCAAGTATATATATTATATAATATTCAGATATATACTATATTTAGTATCTAGATATTTTTTAATGCATGTACTTGGGTATATTCATTAAACAATATTTGAGTTTATATAATCTTGTATGCATGTATTAGAGATTCTTGTTTTTTGCTACGATAGACTTCAAATTCTGTCTGCTTTACAAATTAGTTTATATGAATTATGCGATAAATTTTTTAAAACTATACTATAAATTATGTAAGAAGCTGTGACTAAAGTTTTATTTTTTATATCTTAAACCTAATTAAAAACTAGGTTTAATATATTAAATCTATGTAGAGATATTTTCCAATTTATTATATTAATTTATCTAAAATTATAAATAAATTTTTATAGTAAAATATTTATTATTTGTATATTTAAACTACAGAGATCTCTAAAATTCATATATTAATATAAAATATAGTCATATATATTTAAAATTATACTATTTATTATTATTTGCAAGTTGTAGAATTAAATTTGCTTTGCAAGAATGGGAGTTAGAATATTTGAAAAGTAGAATTTTCTTATACTCTATAATGATTTCCAAAATCATATAATAAACTCTAAGTATTTGCTTCAAAATATGTGTATGTCAAGTCTTATTTAAAGTTAAATAATTGATTTTTTTTAAAATAATTACATAAAACCTTTAATAAAGAATAATGATAATGATAAATGATCAGTTATAATATCCTAAAGATCTATTCAAAGATTGTTAAATTTCCTATGATAAAATTCTAACAATTTGATTTTATTATATATACAAACTATATAAATTATTTGGTATATAATACCCTAATTAATTATATAAAATTAGCTGATATCGATATGCCAATATGCTATCGCATACATATGATTTTACAAAATAATCTGATTATTCATAGATTATACTATTGCAATCTCTAGTATGTACATAAACTATTGTATATAAATATAAACCCCCTCTTCCCCTCTAAAAAAAATATATATATATATAATGAAGATAATAAACCCTTATTTCTAAAACTAATTATCTGCTTTATAAAAAAATAGTTATTTTCTTAGTTAAATTAAAAAAATAGAAAAATAAAAAATAATAAAAAATAATAATAATAAAATAAAATAAAATAAAATAAATAAAAAAAAAACTAGCACTTTCAAACAATTAAATTTTATTGATTATCAAATATTGATATATTAATATATAAATAATTCAGATAAAAAATTAATAGTAAAATATATTATAACATTACTTTTATGATATTATAACAAATTTTTTAAAAAACTTTTAGTAATTACTGCTAATACTTTTTAAGTAACAAAGAACATTCAATAGAACTTTTTAAATAACAGAACATTTAATAGAATCATATGATTTTATTTGATAATGTTTAAGCTATTAGTAGTTTGAAAAAGTTATCTTATATAGTAATAAAAGTTTTTTTTATTACCTGCAAAATTGCTTTAAAAAGTAATTTCAAAAAGGAGAATTTGTTATATATATAAGACATGATATTTGTTTAAACTTTCAAACAATCATGACTTTTATTTGTAGAAAAGGCAAAAAAAAGGCATATAAATGTAGCAATAAAAAATAAGATATCAATAGTTCACAAGAGAAAAGCTAAGGATATTGCATTATTTGGATCAAGTTAAGAGTATAAGAGTAGCTGCTAGAAAATTTAAACTTAAACCTAAACAGATTCATAATTAGAAAAAAAAAAGAATAGCTAATAACTGCAGCTCCATAGATCTAAAAGTTATATGATAGGAGATTACCTAGTCTTTCTGATCTTGAAGAAGAACTAGACTAATAGATTGTAGATATCTGTTTAAAAGGAAATGCTATTACACATAGTATGACTATTGAAAAAGCCAAAAAATTAATAAATAGACAGGTTTATCAAATTCAATATTCAACAATTATATCATTTAAGTTTTCAAATAAGTGGTTAGATAGGTTTCTTACTAGGTATAAATTATCAAATCATCGATACACTCATATCTTACAATGTTTATCTGAAGATACAGCTGAACAAATATAAAACTTTTTAAGTATTGTTTTATTTTATCATAATAAAAATAAATATCCTTTAAAATATATAGGAAATATGGATGAAATATCACTCTCTTTTGATTTTTCTTATAATACTACTTTAGAAAAATCAGATTCAAAAACTGTAAGTCTTCATACTATAGGTTATGAGAAGAGAAATTTTATAGTTATTTTATCATGTATGGCTGATAGTACAAAACTTCTAGCTGTTATATTTTTTAAGTTAAAAACTTGGCTAAAAAAAGAAAAATTTCTAAGTAGAATTTATATGCATAATAAGAAAAAAGGTAATGCAATGAAGAAAAGATGTTTTAGTAGATAGAAAATATCTAGAAACAATATAATCTAATAGCAAACTCCTAATCTTTGTTAATCTATAATGCTTTTAAAGGATATACTATTAACTTAGTAAAATTTTGATTAAAAGAAAAATATACAGATATTGCTATAATTCCATCTAGTTTAACTTCAAAACTACAACTACTTGATGTATCTATTAATCAAAGTTTTAAAGCAACAGTATATTTACTAGTTAATTTTCATATCATAGATATTTGTATAATTTTTTTTTTTATTAATTCTAGTACTGAGCTCTTTATACAAAGTAGATAGCTAATGAAGTATATGAACTTACTAAAACTAGCAAGTTTAAGCAACCTTCATATACAATAGTTATAACATGAGTCAAAAAAGTATAAGATGATATAGATTCTGAACTAGTTAAACTATCATTTAAATGTTGTAGTATTTCTCTTGAAACTGATAGCTCAGAAGATGATCTCTTATTTGACTATGAAGGGGTAGAAGATATCTTGAAAGCTGATCAATATGATGAATTTGAAACTATTAAAATAAACAATAATGAATATCCTAAAGAAGAATATATAAACTATTTTGCAGAAAATATAAAAACAAGCTCTAATAAAGACAGGTCTGATTATTTATATAGGTCTGATGATTTATATAGGTCTGATAATTTATATGAGTCTGATAATTTAAGTGAGTATAATAATTTATATGAGTCTGATAATTTAGAATAATCATTTTAATTCTGCAATAATTTTAAATAAATAAAATAGAGACATTTTTCATATAAGCCAAACTTAGCAACTCAAAGAAATATCGAGTTAGCAACTAGTTTTATAGATAGCTATCATTTAAATATGTATTTTTGAAAATTTTTTATTAAAAAAATTTCTGAAATTGTATATTTTTAAATACTAAAGATAGTGTTGGCATTGGACATATGTCTAATGCCAATACTAACTAGAGAGTAAAATTGTAAAAAAAAATTAGATATATTTTATAAAAATTATATTATAGTTAGATTATTTATAAAGTTGCTATACGATGCTGTCATACTAAAACCAAAAATAATCTTTATAAATATTCAAGAGTTGATGCTACATATTAATCAAAATCTAAACTTGTTTAAGTAATTACAATTCTTATTACTACTAGTATTATTAACTTGTATAAAAGTATCGATTATAAAATCCTAAGGATAAAGCTAAAATTTGAAACTTTTAAATTATATCATTAAATGAAATTTTGAAAACTTAAAGACAGGTTTTAGAAGTTAGATATAGCTATTTCTGATTATGTAAATTAAATTAAAATTATATATAATGATAATATCTGTACTTGAGTATTTTATAAACTACAAGTTTAAAAATTCTAATACTCACTATAAAGTACTTTGAGTATTTTATATATGTTTGTACTTGAAGTATTTTACAAATCACAAGCCCAAAAATTCTAATACTTACTATAAAGTATCTGAGTATTTTATATTCTACTGCAAAAATTTTTAATAGAAGGTACTTTATATAGAGAGAGTACTGTGGTCTGTGCTGTATGGTAATATAAATCTACAAACAACTTAATAAAAATTAACTAGCATTAAAGCCTTGTTGTAATAATAAAAAAAAATAATATATACAAGTTATATTAGAATATAGTATAGTATAGTTAGATATTGTAGCACCTATCTATTAAAAAACATGAATATAAGACTTATCTGATTAATATTTAAGCTTATAATAGTAAAGTTTGCAACTAATATCAGCTTAGAAGCCTCTTAGAATAAAGTAGTACAGAGTTAAAGTTAACTTAATAGTATAATAAATTTAGAAATAACATTGTACTAGAGAGTTTCAATAGATAATTTTCTAATAGATTTCAGATATAGTAACTAGTGTAGAATCTTTGAGTAAACTACTTAAATTAGATAATCTAAAATTGTATATATAACTAGTTGTACTCTTATAATATATATTATATTTCTAATATAAAAACTAATAAAAGTTTAGCTAATGATATTTGTATAAAGTAATAAAAAAAAAAAAAAAAAAAGAATTAATAAAGTAATTAACAAAATAAGGTTATAATATTACTAACTATAGATATATAATTATATATAAAGCTATATAAAAACTTGTGATAATTGTTAAAAGAGAAAAAAATATAGAATTCTTAGATCTTAATAATCTATATCAGTAAAATCTTCTTTCTATCAAGTAGGAATTGACTATATATGACCTCTACTATTAACAATAAAAGGAAACTGATATATAATTATAGTAACAGATTATCTAACAAAATAGCTCAAAGCACAAGCTGTACTAATAGCAAATTTAAATCATATAGCAGATTTTGTCTATAAAAAAATTATTTGTAGATATAGAGCCTCTATATATTTGTTAACTAATAGAGAAAAATATTTTGATAATATACTTGTAAAGAAATTAACTCAAAAATTTGATTTTTTCTACTCTATATCACTCTTAAATAAATAAACTAGTAGAATAATTTAACTGAACTTTGTATGAATTATTAGCAAAACTAGATAATAAAAGAAACTAATAGAATACCTTAATTTCTTCAATACTATTTTTTTTTTTTTTTTTTTTTTTTTTTTTTTTTTTTTTAAGGTGGCTTACATTGCCGAGCGGATTTTATTAGTTGATAT